TCCTCTTCTCCCTCTCTGCCTACGGTTTACCGGGCAGTTTTATTTGACGATATATATATATATATATATATATGTGTGTGTGTGTACATGTGTATTTATTTTTTTGTACATAAACATGTAACTCTCAATCCCCGTCAACTGATGATAAATGCTTTAGGCCATGAGAATAATTTTTGCAGCCCTGTGTAATGTGTGAGTAGGGTGTAAAGCAAGCAGCGCTCCACATAGAGCCTAAGAGAGTGGCGTTGAGGTAGCCTTGTTCAACTCTAGCTTTTGTTGCAGTCCGATCAGGTTTCTTGTGCCTTGCTACTCCAACGGGCCTCACATTCTGAAGTGGTACACGAGGTATTGTACCCTAGTATGATCACCTTGTTGTCCCACAGTTCACAACGTAAGTCAGAGGCTTAACCATTAACGCTAACCTGCGTACACCCAAGAGGAACCTCACACATTGGAGTTGTCATTGCTCTAGGTATGGGTGGATTGCTACTCTACTGACTTTGCGTAGGCTCGCCTCAGGTGGTCTCTAAAGGGAGTTATGTGGAAGCTATAGTCAGCGGCTCACAGGTCCGGTCGGATAAACCGTTAGTACTGTCTACATACTAAGTTAGGAGAAATCAGTAACCCAGACAGTTGAGTTTAAACTCGAGATCATCAATCGTTACCAGGCTTAAGGAATCTCAACGATAAAATAGAGGACTTTTTCAACTCGGACCCAGATTAGACCTCAAATCTCTCTCATGGGGTCTGCCTAATGTAGGGCCCAATGGGAGTGATACTGAAATCCTTCTCCACCGGAAACCATTCTTACAAATCAAAGGTGGTGGAACTCTTAGAACTCGGGCTCCAACCGGTGGACTTAATTAAAGGAGGGGCATAACATAAATTGGTGATTGGGTTTGGGGAGTTGCCAGCTATATCCGTCACAGGAGGGCTATACCACCGTGACGGGTAGTGTCCGCTGGTAACACACTCATCTGATCCCTCTGCAGATAGAGATGTAGACGAAGACATAACGAGCCTTGACAGTGGATGATCACCAGCGAGCTCAGGGAATTTAATGGAACCCTCGTTGAATTCGACTTTTGACTATTAATAGCAGTTCCTCGGGAAACTACCCTAGTTGTCAGCGCAGATTAGGCAGTTTCGGACAATCGTTCCATGGATTCTTATTCATTTGTTTTCGAATCTTCCCCGGCCGGACTGCGCTTTACCTTT